ATATATATATAATTATGTATAATTACATATAATAGTTATATATATATAGTTATGTACAAAATTTCTTATAAAAAATCAGATCGATTTAAATAAAAATGACAAATCTTGCTCGGTTTTTGTTGCCAATCTGCCGTCAGGTTATGTCAGTAGACTGATTTGCTTGATTTCTGCCACCTCTGTTGGCGTTATCAATAGGTCCAGCCAAATGCAGACACAGATAGCTATGGTTTTGTAATGGTTTTGTAATCTATTCGAATTTGTAATTAGGTCGCAATTTGCTAGCATTTTGTTATCAGAGGAGAGTTGAAGTCGTCTTATTTAAAAAGCTGAATTTGTCTCATCGTCTTTTTAAATTTTTTATCACTATTATCAAAGCGCAATTAAGAGGATTCTATAGTCATCTGTTTCATCTTTTATCGACTAAATGCAATAATTTTTGTGCAACCATTTTTTTTATAGATTAGAAAATTTTTTTTCAGTATTAAAGAATAACATGTCTGTGCAGTGAAGTTTATATCGAGATTAAACAAAATTTTTGAAATTGAGATTTTTACTATTCCTTAGAATGCGTTCCTCTTGATGCTCGCAACGCTTATGGAATTATGTCATCCTTGTTATCCATCAAATGCTGAACAAGCACAAATAATACTCGCGAGCGTTGTGAACATTGTGATTATACGAGTATTTGCTAGACATAAAACTTTGCAATCTGTATTTATAAAATGTAGTTCATAACTTAGTAGAACAAACACACACTGTCGAGTTCTTAGAATTAGATTTAGCCTAATTTGATACGCATACACACACATGCATAATTTTTGTAACGCATTTTCGTATCAAATTAGAGTATTGATGTAGCAGTATATAGTAATGTGTCAATCAGGAACCCGTACTGAAAGATTTTTTTCAGTTCGATTCCAATTACGGTTTAATAAAATATTAATAATAAATATTTCGATTTCAATTTCGGTTTTTGATTAATAAATAATTTAAAAAATATATTATTTAATACAATGTTTTATATATTATATGTAATATATGTAGGTACATATATGTAGAAATCACAGTTGTAACGCTAATATAAATACAAGAAGAAAAGGGAAAAAAAAGAAACAAAAAGAAAGAATCAAACCGATAAAGTTATTGATTATAATTTCGGTATTATAAATTTCATAGAATTTGGTTTCGATTTCAATTTTGGTTTATCTAAAAAAAGAATTATGGAATCATTTTCTGTTTCGATTCCAATTTGGTCCGGATCCCTGATAAATGATACGTAAATCATATGTGTGCAAGTCCTATTGAATCAAAACGATAACTATAGGATCATTTTAATGTCCACGTCATATAGATAACAAAATATATTCAGATATATTAAGTGGGAGAGAGATAAGGAAGGTAATTTTCTAACTTTCTTCTCTAATGACTCGTAGATGGATACTATGTCCGCATTTAACAAAAGTACATTCTGTTCCAAGTCATCTTCATCTACAATAGTTTAAGTACTTACTTCTGCCCTGTAAGGGACAAATATTGCGCTGGCCAAATTCCCAGCAAGAGCACCAATAAAATAGATCAAAGCGATGCGCAACGAGCCTGTCAGTTTTTCCAAATCTCTCATCAGGAAGTATTGGATCAGCAACGTAATTATCAAATGGACGATTCTGAGAAAACCAATTTATATTGAAATAAATACATAAATCAAGAGTTCTTGCTTTTTAAATTAATTTATTCGGACTAATCAGTTCATTTTATTACATTTTAATAGGAAAATAAATGTTAATTTTTAATTGAATTAATAGCAAATTGATTTTACTTAGTGGGATGAATTTAATGAAATAAACTTCTAAAAAAATTTTTTGTTATTAATTAATATGAAATCAAATTACACATAAATTTTACGATTAAATAAACGCATAAAATTAATGCATAAAATTTTATATATTCAAAATAAATTTCATAAAATGCAATTTGTCATCAATTATTACCCAGCATGAAGAAAAATGGTGGTAAAGAGTCTGTAGAACTGGTCTGGCCATTCTGGATGCAGAAACGGTATCATTCCGCAGACATCGTGCAAACACTCCACCTGGGAGCACAGGGACGCTTCCTCGTGAAAGTAACCGTGGACAAAATCGCAGTACTCTTTTGTGGTGATCCGACACATCCCGTGAATCCCGATACAACAAGGGTGACCGATTACCTCGCACACCATGTGCTCCGCCATCTTATCCTTGTAACGACCGATCGGAAAATTGGCGTTGCCTCGTTGATCCCCGTTTTTACTAACAAAAATTTTTGGATATTTTTCTTTTTTGCAACCATTTTAATCATCGTGAATAACAGTTTTATTTTCACAAGCTTAGATATTTCCGCAAATGGATTTGTTTCATGTGAAAGTATTTTATCATTTGTACTTTGGAAAATTCACGAATGAATACACTTAGAAGATTGGAGAAAACTCACCTGAAACGTTGGTTAAAGGGATTAGTTTTCCGACAAATTGGCCACTTGGTGATGTCATCTGGCCACTCGTAAGGTGCGATGCTTGCCGGGGCATCGCAAAACTTAGGATCCAGCCCACAAACTGATCCACTGATGCGACCGCCAGGTCCGCTGTCTCCAGGTCCCCACTTCTTCCAGGTCGATATTGTATTCTGCGAGAGTGAACATAATTGCAATTAATTTCATTGCTAGCGCAAAGAGAATTTCTAAGACTTTATAATATTGCGGATACATTTAGCAAAAGACATAATAGTGATAGCAATTATAAAAGTGACAATTACACAAGTTTTAGATCAATTAAAAGAAATAAATCTATTTTCGATAAAAAAAAAAGCGGATCTTAGTACTTAAATATTTTATAGTAAATTTATATACAATATCTAATTCCATAAACTGCGCATCGAAATCTTTTTTGATCTTAAAACGCAAACATAAAAAGAACTAGAAACATTACATTTAAATTAATTAGCAAATATTGCCGAAGTGGTTAAACGGTAAGAATTCCTGCACGGAATATGAAAAATGTGAGTATAAATCCCAGCTGAGGCAATATTTTTTGAAATAAATTAAATTATTTACAGCTCTTAAGATGCTTAGGTACCATATGCTTACAATATTTTTCTAAGATGCTTATAATAATTTACAAAAAATTATTAAATTGCTTATCAATTTATTATGTAATATTACTAGTTCTATTCATGACTACGTTTCAAGACCAAAAAAGATTTTAGTGCGCGGTTTCTAGAATTGGATATGTATGTAAATTTCACTCTGAAATACTATAGTTCGAGAGTCAGTGAACATTTTATCGTATAATTTCAGCAAACTTGATTTATCAATTTTATCATTATTTTTATGCTTAGAAACGCTAAAGCGATAGTCTGTCAGCTGGCAGGCGGGACAGAGGCCGATCGGAACAATAAAAAAAATGATGTATTCATGTTATAGCAGCAAAATTGATCTTTTTTTCCTTATTGTCCGTCAGCATACAAGACGATATTAGTCTGCCATCTCCTCAAACATACAAGTACACTTGTATAAAAAAATATAATTTACTGAAATGACGTAACTAAAATAATACAGTATAATTGTCACCTTTATTTAGCTACCATTATATTTTTCTTTGAGTATAGCAATTTTTTGATTGAAACATGCGTAAATTAATAACAAAATGTGCGCAACTTATTAACCAAATAAATTATATAGCAAAAATTACATATATATCCATATATATAAAACACATTTTAAAGTTTTTAAGTATTATATAATATATTCATATATATTGTATATACATATAAAATACAAAAATTTTTTTTTCTTTCATTAAATTGAGACAACATTGACATACAATATATAAAGTTTGTGTTTATATTTATTACAAAAAAAAAAGGATTCGCATTGAACTTATGGAAATATTGTACATATGTCTTCCAGTTAAACGGATTGAAATTGAAGTACGTTATCCAAATAAAATTCTCAATGGGGACTCACCAAATTCAGTACTTTTTTGTCTAGAAACGTTTTAAAGTGGAAACCTATGGTTGTATCATATTTTTCACAAATCAAGTATATGAATCTTTCCCACACCCCCTCTTTCTCTCTTTTTTTCTCTTTCTTTTTCTACACACACACACACACACACACACACACACACACACACACCCCCCCATGTATTTGCGTGTGTGTACTTACATTTTCAACAAGGATACAGTTGCATAAAATGCAAATGAAAGTGTAATTTTTTAATTTTCTCCTGCTTTAAACACAAATATATTTGTGTTCAAAGTAAGAAAAAATTAAATAAATTAATTGCTATACTCATTTTTATCTCAATATAGCAACCAACCCTATCAATTTATCAAAGCATTTATTTTGTGGAAAGGTTATGTGTTTGAAATAAAGACAGAGATGTAAAATAAAGAAATGAATATATGTGAATGAATATAAATTGTTATAATTAGATTTAAAAGTCTAAATAAAGATATATTTTAGTATTCTATGAATCTGTGTGTATATATGTGTACGGTATTGGTGTAATATATTATATAGGCTGCGTTTCATATTACGCTCGCAATGCTTACGAGCATCGTTCTTGTTTAATATTTAATAAACAATAAAGATGGAATGATTTTACGAGTATTTTGTGAGCATTAAATGAACCGTAGTCATAGTGATATGTCGATGTCTCATAAATTATATAATTGTATTGTAAACCATACGTGTGTAAATTATATTTGACCGGTAAATAAAACAATACTTAAACCAATACATACTTGTAAAACAGTACATAAAACAGCATTTGCTTAAACGTCTTTAAACAGATACTGAATTTATAGAATCATGCCTATATTGAGACTTTTGTTTGGCATGTCGAGGACAACAATACTTCAATTTCAGCCAATTGAACCACACATTTCCATAAGATATATCTGTGCGGGGTCCTTTCAATTTCAAGTAATGAAAAATTGCGACGCTCACAATGCAATAAATTAAAAAATATTTTCTTTTCTTTTTTTCACTAGTGCTTTTTCTGAAGTTAAAGAATTAAATTGAAAATTACGTAGTTTACCATAGCAGTGGATCTCAGTCCCCGGACCTGTTAGGCGCGCATGGAAGAAAATTTTATTATTATGAACATGACCGTAAAGAGCTAGCAAAATATTACAAGTGTTTAAAAAACCAGGAAACTTACAGAACAATCTGCTTTGCTCGATTGAACGCAGCCGGAATCGTCATTCCTAATGCAACAAGCAGTATCCCGTTCTCTTTCCCGCCATACATCGATCTCCTTTAGGATCTTGATGTCACGACGCATACACGGTGCAAACTTAGCGCCAAGATGGATCAGATCTGCGGCCCTAGGACCCAGCCAGAAGTTTGCGGGTTCTTGATAGTCGACTTGTTGTAACGACAAACTTGTTACAAGAACCTGGACGCAATCAATTATTTTCTCAATCATACTCAACCCTCACTGAATGTAAGAATTTAATATTATCCTCTCATTTCTTATTTAATAAACAAAAACAATATTTAAATATTTAAATGTAGCTTGAAATATTTTAAACAACTGCAACCGTATATCTTGGTGTAAAAATTTTTATAATATTAAAAAAAATTTTTTATTATTATATTTTAAACATAAAGATTTCTGAAGAATAGCTTAAATTCATTTAAATTTTAGGTTTTTTTGGAAATTATAAAATGAGATCTTAATGTATCTCAAAATTTACATATATGTATAAAGAATTTTAGAAAAGATGTAAACTTTCTCAACACTTTTTAAAAATGTATCGGTTTATATAAAAAGATAGAGAAATTTTCTAAAAAGTTATAAAGAGTATATTCGATCACAATCTGATCAGAACACACTACAAGATTAAGTGTTTTATTCCAAATCACACTACAAAATTGAGCATTTTATTTCGAATCTATGAAGCTTAATAATTTGTTGATCAGCAGCGTACTTAATTAATAAACCACATTTTTTAAATTAACGGATTTTAAAACAAATACATTATGTATATTAAGTTTTCAAAACACTCTTCATTTTATTGTATTCATTGTTTGATTATTTTTCCAGTTCTTTGATTATTTTTATTTCTCTATGGAGCCATTAAAAAAATTTTATTTATAAGAATCCGAGGTAGAAACTGAGAAAGAGAGTTGATGGCTCAATTATATTTCGCCTTCCCAACTGTAGATGAAGAAATGTTACAGTAAAATACAAACGACATAAATAGCAGAACCAACCACATTAGGCATACAATAAAATCAATTTATAAAACAAAAAACTTGTTATAAATAATGTATTTGTCAATAATGTATTTGTTTTGAAACCCGTTATTAAAAAAAAAACAATTTGTTAATTAACTACGTTGCGGATTAACAAATTATTAGGCTTTATTTAGATTTAGGATAAAATGCTTAATCTTATAGTGTGTTCCGATTGCGGATGCACTTTGTATAAATAAAAATATACACATATATTCTGAAAAATTTTTAAATTATATTGTAGTAATTGTGAAAAAATTAAATAAGAATTCTAAAAAAAAGTTTTTTCTGAAAGGATTAAGCATACACATAAAAAAAACAAAATTTTGTCATAAATAAAAATTTAAAGCATTATTATAATTGTAATTCAAAGTGATCATTCACTTCTTATTATATTCTACAAGGATTGAATAGACTTACATAATTTGCTTTGATCCAGTATAAATAAAAAGAAAGCTTATCTTTTACTGTGCACATAAAACATTTGAATTTATTCTTAGCAAGATTAGTTTTTTAATAAACGTAATGAAATTCCAAACAAAGTTTTTAAAAAATGAAAACAATCGTAAATAATTGTGGTCAATAAATAGTGATCGTTTCTGTTTGCTCACCAATCCAGATCGATGATTGAGATCCATCCCGACAGGACCAAATCCGTAACACGCCAGCGATATTATCAGAATCAATACTTGCACAGTAGTGATCCAGTATGTGAAATACGGTCGATGATCCTCGAAATTGTCTAACTGCTTCTTTATGTCCGGTTTGTGCGCAACGCTTTTCCGAAAAGATCGTCTGAAATAATAGGAGAAAAATTTAATAACTCACGAAGCTCTTAATATGTTTTGTTTGCTATAATCTCGATTTTGTTAATGGACAAAACATCTACATTAATCTCTACGATATCCGTAATATGCGATATTTACTCCACTAACGAATTTTATTACGAATTGATTGATTGAATTGACATTAATTCGATTAATCATTTTTTGCTCGAATAGTAATAATGATATAATATTTTGTAATTACAATATTGTGTAAAGTAACACTCAGAGAAGAAAATAGCGTTTTTATATGATATTTATATAGATCACAACTATATAAATTTTATATGTAGAATTAAAATACAAAAAAAATTGAATAAACTATTTTATAAGGAACATAAATTTTCGTAACTATTCATAGTATTTAATTGCAATAATTATAAAATACATAATTTATTCAATTATATACTTAATTCTACATAAAACTTGTATGTAGCTATCATTTATACAATTGCTACTACTGTTTTTTTCTAGGCGTATAAAAAAATTATAATAATGACATAATTTAATTTAGAGGAAAAGATGTATGGTAGATTAATTAATAAAATTTTCTTTACTAATATTCTAAAGTTACCTTATGAAAACTAATGGATTTCACTTTTTCTTGCTTTACATTTTATAATCTTACACAGTTAGTTAATTAGTTTTCAATTAAGACAGTGTAGCTCTCATAAGAGTTTAATTTATTTCAGACTTCGCAATAAAGAATGAAATATAAATGTACCCAAAGAAGCGACCGACAATGCCCATCCCGTATCGTCGCCGATTACTGTTGTCAAAGACCCGATCGATCGTGCTGCGGGAGATCCTCGTGGCCCCGGCTATTTCCCGGCTGCGAAGAGTCACTCCCTCCTCTTGTGGCACCCTTGTACCCTCCGCCGGAGGCGCGTCATACTTCGACCTGCTCCAACTTGTTTTTCTGTAATCTCTTTCTTGTTGTACATGTTTGCGCGTTTGTTGGTCAACGACAAATCTACTTTGCAAATTGCTTTTGTTTGAGTATGAAACGTTTTGCGATCATTCAAATCGCGTACAGCCTTTGCAATGTCCAAATGTCAATAGCTCTTGGATTTTGAGAATTCAAAGGCAAACAAATTCTTAGAAATTTGAAGCTTAAAGATACACTGTTAGAAATGTTTGCGATTTCACAACACTTTAACTAAATACATAAATTCAGTAAATTTTCGATACTTGTACACTGTGAAAAATATTTGTTTTTGAATTTACAATAGAAATGTGCAGTAGATTTACAAATCATGTTATGTTTTGTTACGATTTCAAAATATTTGTAAATTTACAATAGATATTTGCTATGATATCAAAAAGTAAATTTAATGATCAGTTATTATAGACTCAATATAGACACTTGTTATGTAGCGATGGGTCACTGCCGAGAGTCTATGCACTGCCGAAGACATACCTGACTGCTCGTATAGAGTTATCGTATCGTTGATAGGTAATCCGTTGTAAGCTTCCTTTTTACACAGCATAATATTTGAAGCAATCCCCAAAGCGGAGAGCTATATTAGAAACAGTTTTTAACTCGTTGATAAACTAAAAGGAGTGAACATTTAAACAAACTATAAATTAATTTCATTAGATGTTGTGTCACTTTTTATTAATATCCTGATAGAAATAGCCATAGATTGCGTAAACAAAAACTGGAATTACATCTTTAAAAAATGTTTCATACCTGTGACAGAGTTTTTGGCGGCAGTCAGGTTTATCTTAGATTCTACGTTTATATTTAATAATACCATCTACAAACAAAACTTCGGCACATCCATGGACTCTCTGTTGTCTCCCGTCGTTACCGACTTGGTATTGCAAAAATGAGAGAGAACTGCCTTGATGTTGTTTAATGATCATGTATTATTTTATTATCGATATGTTGATAATTTGTGCATTGCTATTCCTTCTTCCAAAATAGATTCGTTTTTAGAATGCTTTAATTCTTTTCATTCTCGTTTTTAATTTACCCTGGAAATAGGTCACGACTCACTACACATCTTAGATAGCACAATCACGATTAGATGACTAAATTTCGATTAGTATTGGCAAACCGACCTTTTCTGGGAGACCTTTTCTAAATTTTTTCTCAAATCACCCTCTCTCTCAAAAAAGAGGAATAATCATTAATTTAGTAGATAGAGCTCTTTTACTCTCTAATACTGAATATCACACAAAAAATTTAACATTAGTATTAAATTGAAATATTATTACAGAATGACTATCATCTTAAATTCATTTTTGAGACGATAAACAACAGAGTCAAAAGCATTCTACGAAAGAAGACAGTATTGCATAATAATTCTGAGTAGAAAGATGAATTATCAGTGTCTTTATCTTGGTTCATGGTTCCTTTTATTCCATCTTTGACAAAAAATTCAATAAATTTAATAGGGACGACATCAAGATGTCTTTTTATAGTTCTAATAAATTACGAAAATACATTAAAGTATATAAAGACTCTCGACTTCATCTTTCCAAAAATAACGTATAAGATCAGTTATAATGATTGTGATGCAACATATGCGGAACAGACAGGCAGACAATTAAAGACAAAAATCAATGAACACAAAAATCATATTCGCTGGAACATGTCTGCTCGTTCAGTAATAACGGAACATAGGTTGCAACATAACTTCGATTGAAATAATATCGAAATTTTAGACGAAAAACCATGTCATAACAAGCACTTGATTTTGAAATTAATATTAAAAATCCTCAATTTACCAACAAATACTGAGAGCCTCCATAAAGCATATATTCCGATAATAAACAAAATTTGACATTGCAATACCAAGATTACTTTATCGTTCTTTAGTTGTGTTCGTCTATCGTGATAGTAACATATCCATTTACCTCGTGACTTATTTTAAATACATTTGCATATAATAATTTTTGTCTTTATATACCATTAATTTTATATCATGACTAACTCTTTTTTTCTCTACTGTAATATTGCTATTATTTTATTATAAACCAACATACTGACGCGTTTTTAAGAAAATTGACGAACATCTTCTCGATATACGAAACTTAACTATATGGCCAGTTCGGTGAGTTATTTTTACCAGAGTGATATATTTGCTCGATTTTTATCATCGTATAATTGATTTTATTCTTAATTTGACTTTTTACCAGAACATCGGAAAATTTTAAATAACCGGTCGTCCAACCGTTTGCGAATAAGTTTTCATCTTTCTGTAAAACAGCTCTCTCATAATTACTATTTATATAATTTCATCCATTTTTTCGACTGCGTTCAACTATTGTAACATCACTCTTACAATACGACTTGAATATCTGAAAAGAACTCAATCGTGAGACCGAAACATGTAAGATACATATGATTGTTAAGTAATTACAGAGTATTATATTATATATATTTCTCGTTTGAATTTTCATTAAAATAATTCTTTATATTTGACTCTTATATGCCCTATATTCTCTTATATTGTTTTGAAATTAAGAGTTCTTCGCTCTCGTAAAAACTTATTAATAATCAGTATCACTCATGATGGAAGGGATAACATGGTGTGTGCAGTTGTCTCTCTCTAAATCTCCGCCCTCTCTGTCTATGGATGTTCATGAGGTTCAAGGGCTACAACTGTGAACCGCTAAACATGGAACGGTATTCATAGTCCGTTTTTATTTTAAAACTGTTTTAAATATAATGCCTTAAGGTTCTAATACAGTTCTCGGATTGACTTATGACATCTTAGGACTGTATTTAAGATGTCGTGATAAGTCAATCCGAGGACTGTATTAACTTCTTAAGATATTACTTTTAAGACAATTTTAAAATAAAAACGGACTATGAATATCGTCTCATGTTTAGCATTTCATGATTGATAGGCTCTTCCTTATGAACAGTCCTAGACGGAGAGAGCAGAGATTTAGGGAGACACTGTCTAACTGCACATACCATGTTATCTTTTCCATCATAGTATCATTTCTTACGCTCACTTATACACAAATATAGAAATTACCTAGATCACAAATTAAAACCATAGTATAAGAATATAAAATATTTTATTGCGCATAATGGCCGGCAGAATCAAGACTAAATCAAGATAACAATCAAATATTTATCCTAAATTAGAACATCAAATGCTTATTCTAAATTTAGGACAACGCTTTGATTGATCAAAGAGTAGCCGCCATGTTGAAGATGACTGCGTAGAGCGCATCTTAAAAAATGAAATATTTTATATTCTTATACCATCATTAAAACAAGTTATATTAGGTGTACAATGTGATAATATTTATTTTATACAAATCTATAAATTTCACGGAACATTTTGACTGCACTTAGTCCTCATCAGCCGTGAATAAAAATTATAACTCAGTATGGAAAATCCCGTACGATGAAATTAATGCATAATAAAATTGGTGCTCGAATATGTTATAGATCCTGTACAGTAGAATAAAATTAACGCAAAGTATTAACACATAATAAAATTGACGCTCAAATGTGTCATATCTTGAATATTATCTCACCTTCATCTTCAAGTAAACTCATAGAGTAATAATTATATTCTATTAAGCCAAACATAAGACGATGTACCATAATGTCATAAATTCAAATGTAAAAGCATCATTTCTTCTTTTAATGGCGAGAAAAGGCAGTCAAAAGTGTTCTAATAAAAACACAAATAAAATTTAGTTGATTCTTTGTTCGTCTGATATTATGTACATATGTGGCATCATTCAAATTTTATCATTGTCACAAGTAAGAGGTGTTTCCATATTATGTTAAGAGTGATAATGTGGATCTGATTAATTTATATTACATTTACATTATCTTCATATAAGTTCTGTAGAAAAATGTACTTGCATATGTTTCACGCATTTCACCTTCACAATTATTCTACTCAATTTACCAATTATTTGAACTCTACACATAATCATTTTCTACATAACTCTGAAAAATGTTTATGCTTCAACATCATAATTGAGATGTGATTGAGATTCTCTGTTTTAAATACTTTCGATTGAGATTCTCTTTAAATACTCGGATTGTCCTTTCTCGCCATTAAACGAAGAAATAGTGCTTTTACATTTAAATTCATGACATTACATCGTTTTATGTTTGACTTAATAGAATGTGGTTGTTACTCTATGTGTTTATTTGGAGATGAAGATGAGATGGTATTCAAGATATGACACATTCGAGCGCCAATTTTATTATGGGTTAATTTTATCGTACGGGGTTTTTCATTGTATTGGGTTATAATTTTTATTCATAGCTGATGAGGACTAAGTGAAGTCGAAACGTTCCATGAAATTTATAGGTTTGAACAAAATAGATATTTGCTATTTTACAAAACACGCCGAGATAACATTAGAGATTCGCGCATATCTCGCGAGCCGACTGAACCTATGGTTTTCGCTGTTAATCGCCATTATTTCTATTATCCGTGTGGTCGCCTATAATCAGCTCATCTCGTGAAAGTCGTATCACGACAATTTTTGTGTATTTTACGATAAATACAATAAATTATTATTGTAACTAACCGAAGTTGTGTTTATTATAAGTGTTACTGTAAATGTAAGTATACTTTTCTTTAAATATATACTTATTACTTTAGTGTGTTACTATAAGTGTAAATATATTTTTCTTATCCTGACAACTTTTGCACGGAAAAAACGCTACGGTATATATATATATATATATAT